AAGCTGTCTCGAACCATCGTCTGCTATCTTGGGCCATGTTGAAGACCATCTTGTAGCATCGGAGGCCCTCTTGGAGCCATCTTGGGCGAAAAAGGACCCCCTAACACGTCGCGGCCCGCCACAAAAAAAACGCAGTGGGGGGGAGGGGGTGGATACCCCTCCCCGAAGGGAAGAGGGTGAAGAGGAACGAAACACCTGATTAGACCACCTTAGCGCACAGAGCTGGTGGGATAACCAGATACCGCCTCCCCCACCCCCGCATGCAGGGGCACCGCCCACCTCTGGAATATCTTGGGCATATCCTCGGTACCGCTTCGCTGGGCCTCCCAGGGATCGGGGGTGGACAGAACCCCCAACAGTGACACGTCGATTAGTAAATTGTCCGTTTTCGGTTTTCGAAAGGGCGCCGTGGCCGTTATTTTCCAGGCTTGCGCCCGCCAGGTTTGGGCCTCAGGTCGTTTTCACTAAACCACGTTTTGCTAAAGGGGGGTCTGTCCATCCCCGAAGGGAGTCCCAGGAGGGCCTCGGGACGGTCCAGGACGCCTCCGAGACAGCCCAAAAGGGCTTCGAGACGGCCCGCGACAGCCACCCGACGGCCACGAGACCCCCACTAGCGCCCAGGAGAGTGCCAAGAGGCCTCCAAGAGGCTCCCAACACCGCCCAGGAGAGGCCCAGGAAAACCCTCGAGCGACCCATGCCACAGAACAAACAGCGGCGTGTTCGCCTTCGATGCGCTTCCGAGGTGTGCGCATGACCCACAAGAGAGTCCCAACATGACCCCAAGAGGCGCCCCAAGAGGCCCCAATTGGCCCCCACAAAGCTTCCAGAAGGCGCGAAGAGGAACCCACGAGGCCCGAAAGAGGTCCCAGGACGCGCCCCCCAAATGCTTTCGAAAGCCCCAAGAGCGCCCAAGAGAGCCCACAAGAGGCCTCCAGTGGCGCCGAAGACCCCCAAGAGGCCCACAAGAGGCCCCACAAAACCCCACAAGGCGCCCCCAAGAGGCCCCACGAACGTGTCCAAAACATTTCCCAGAGGCTCCCAGGAGTCTCCCAAGTGACATCCACAGATGGCGGGTGCGGAGCAGAGCAGGAGCAGTGGGATGGCCAGGTACGAGGAGGAGGAGGAGGAGGAGGAGGAGGAGGAGGAGGAGGAGGAGCAGGAGGAGGAGGAGGAGGAGGACGACGAGTGCAAACTCAAGACTCACCAACGATGTTGGAATGAATCCTCCCTCCAAGCTCCGTCTCCATAGGCCCCTACACGGGCTCATTGCCACTGAGGGGATTGCCCCGTTGGGAGGCAACCTTTGGAAGACCCTGACGCATGCCAAAGCACTATTCTCGGGACTCCCACGCCACGGATCCACCTGACTATTGCGTCTTGGCGATCCCGAATCCTGCCAGAACACCGTTCCTGGGGCGCCAACACCGCAGAGATGGCTGCCGCCAAGACGGTGTTCGACTGGTGTTCGAAAAGGTGGCTCTCGCCGTAGCGCCACGCGTGCTCGTATGGGAGCACGAGACTTTCAGCACGCGGCTTCTGCGGTTGCACCGCCTGAGTTCGTCTGGAAGCCTCCAACAACTATTCGGGTGGAGGGCGGTCTTGTTCCAAATTGGCGTGGGATTCATCCGCGCGACAGGGTTTCACGCCGAGGCTAGGACCCCGCCTCGAAGGCGACCGCCCGTGCCCTGATTAGCCTCAGGCTTCAGTCCTGGGATTACGCCGCGGCTGTTCAAGGCAGCGCGAACGCGAGGGGCTGGCCGTCCCGATCTGGCCCGCGCTCCTGCCAAGCCCAGGGCCGATGAACTGGAATCTCCGAGCAAGCCCGCCGAAGACGCGCCCAGCTCGACGGACGAATCCGCGCGACGACTTGGTTGGGCTCGTTCCCGGAGGGCCGCATGTAGTGTTGCTCGCTGCGCTAAGCTGTCCTGGGGACCACCACATCTTAATTTGTCGCGCTGGTTCAGTATTCGCATTCGTCTTCGAAGCCGTCCTACCGTGGTTATGCCGCCGATCTTGAATTTGTCGTCTGGCGATTTCGAATTCGTCGTCCGTGTAACTTGTCGTCTGTTATTGCACAATTGGCCTGTGCGTTTTGATGTTGTCGTTCGCTTTTCTTCTACTCGCGCCACCTCGTTAGAATGTGCGGCATTGCTTGTCAACGTGCGACTAATCGAATATGAGTGCGTCGCCTGTTCTGTGGAAGCCGGACTTGGAAAAGGGGGGCCCCCGCTTCAGACTTCACCAGCATGTTTAGCCATTAGTGTACGATCGTGCGTGAGTCTCACAGACGGAGGGCGGTTTCTTCTGAACATATGGTCCTACCTTCAGGTCCGTGGAACGACTACACAGATGGAGGGCGGCTCTTATTCAAAACCGGGATATCGCTAGACACTTCCTCGATCTTGATGATCCGCGCCCGTTTGGGTGTTCAGGCCCAAGGGCAGCACGCCTTCCCCAAACCCACCCACCACCCCGCCACGGGATCTGGAGGCCCTTTAGAACCTCCAAGGAGCCGGCTTCCAGGTTGAAGAGACCTCCAGGACGATTCAGGAGGATGCCCAGAAGCCGCCAAGACGGCTCAGGTTTGTTCAGAAGGCTCCAAGATGACTCCAGATGGCCCCAGGCGGGGCCCCAGACAGGCAACCGCCCCAACACTTTTGTGGGAGTTGTTATTCTCCTTCAGACAGAACTAGGATCGCTTGAGAGGGCCCCAAGACGGGCCCAGACCTCCCCAGGACGACACGTAGACGGCACAAGAGAACTGTCGGAAGGGGCCCAGAAAGCCCCAAGACGGCCCAAGAGAGCTCCCGAAGAGGCGCAGTTTCCAGGAAGCTCGCGATAGACCCCTTGTGCCCCCAAGGCGCACCCCCCCCAGCCAGCCCAAAGACAAGTCTTCGACGCTCCAGCAAAGGCCCCCTGGGAACCTCACCCTCCCAGCCTGCCCACTTCCTATTCCATCTCCGCCCACACCGGCCTTGATGCGCTCACGCGCCCGAGCATGGAGCCGCTGGTTTCGCGCGCCCGAGTTTCGAGAGGTGTCTCGGGCGGCACCACGTGTTCGTACACCGTGGTCCTCGCAGCGCTGGCACGCCCTAGTGGCCATGCAGCCATGCAAGGCCACCGCTCTCCCTGGTCCATCTCGCAGAGCCGAGCTCGCCATCAACCTTGAGCTCCTCCTCCAAATCCTCTCCCTCCTCCCCTCCTCCAAATCCTCCTCCTCCTCCTCCCCTCCTCCTCCTCCTCCTCCTCCTCCTCCTCATCATCATCATCATCATCTTCCTCCTCCCCCCCTCCTCCAAATCCTCTTCCTTGCCCTCGTTCACCTGTCCTTCCTGCTTCTCCTCGTTCTGTTGGTGCTCATGCTCCTCGCCCCCTCTCCTCCTTCTGCGCGTACTACCTTTCATCAATATTCACTCCTCTTCCTCCTCCTCCCCCTTCTCCTCCTCCTCCTCCTCCTCCTCTTCCTCCTCTATTCCTCCTCCTCCCCCCTCCTCCTCCTCCTCGCTCCTCCTCCTCCTCCTCCTCCTCCTCCTCCCTACTATCCTCCTCTCCCCCCTCCTCCTCCTCCTCCTCCCCCTCCTCCTCCTCCTCCTCCTCCACCCCTCCTTCTCCTCCCCCTCCTCCCCCTCCTCCTCCCCCCCCTCCTCCTCCCCGCCTCCTCCTTCCTCCTCCTCCTCCTCCTCCTCCTCCTCCTCCTCCTCCTCCTCCTCCTCCTCCTCCTCCTCCTCCTCCTCCTCCTCCTCCTCCTCCTCCTCCTCCTCCCCCACCTCCCCTTCATCCTACAGTCAAGACGCTGGAACGAGGACCACGCTGGGTTCAGGAGGGGCTCGTGTTTTCGGGTCGTTCCCTCGGTCTAGGTCGGGGAGCAGATCCTTGCCCGAGGCCTGTCGTGGCTAGTGAGCCCCTTCGTTCCTTATTTGCATCGTTCCCTATGGTGGCACGGTGGCGCACACGCAACCTCACGCATGCAGAGCAGTTCATATATCACAAGCTGCGCGTGATAGCACAGGAGCACGGCTCCTGTGGCTTCGCCCCGCTGCCGCTGCCCGCCACGCATTTGTGCGCACCAGGAGAGCGAAGCGGGCCCACAGTCGTGTCTTGTCTTGTCACCTTCACCATCACCCCGTCCTCCTCCTCCTCGTCATCATCATCATAATCAACATCATCATCAGCATCATCATCATCAACATCATCATCGGGGCGGCTCCTGTGCAGCGCACGGTGCCCGCTGAGGGGGGATCATCATCGTCATCATCATCATCATCATCATCATCATCATCATCATCATCAGCATCATCATCATCATCATCATCATCATCATCATCATCAGCATCATCCTACGTCAGAGCAGTGCACTCGTTGTAGTAGCATGGTTGCCACGACGGCGGAATGACGACAGGGGGCCACACGAGGTGTTCACGGCCCCAGCCCGAGCCAAGTCTCTCGCGAGTGGACATGCGACGGCCTGGTGGGCTTGAGTGTTGCTGCTGCTCCTCGTCCTCCTGCCCATCCCCCGCGCCACGCGACCTCCTCCTCATCCCCCACCACGGCTCTGGCAGCCACCTGGCCAGGCCACAACTCCGTTCTTGCTCTGGCGCCGCCATGGCGCTGTTTGACCCCCGCCGCCCTGCTTCTCTCCCTGCCTGGACTCCCAAGGAGGTCTGCGCCCCTCCCCCCAGGACCAGACTTTTTTCCCCGAGCTGCTCTTTGACGGCCGCGAGGCGCGGTGAGGGCCCGCGGGGTCCTGGGGACAAGCCGTCCGGAGCCTTGGCGCCATGTCGACTAGACGTAAGAGTGACCTTTCGTCGGAGTGGCCTTTGGTGCGGGCCAAATGGGTTCCCCTGATCGTCAAACGCGATGCGATAGTAGCGTCTTGCGCGCTTGTGTTTGGTCCCCCCGCGGTTCCCCAAAGGCCGCGCACCAAAGGTCACTCTTGCCCAGGGTCACTCTTGCGTGTAGTCGACCATGATCCTGCTCACGACGCGAGGGGGCCAAGGCAGGCCGCAGCCCTGCCTCCCTGCTCGCGCTGGCGGTGCCCTGCCTCCGGGCGCCGCGCGGTGGCTCTCAGGACCGCCCTCTCGGGCCGAGCAGCGCCGCCGCCGCGTGCCCAGCGAGCGCGCGCGCGGGGCGCCTGCGCGCGGGGATGCCGCGGGGGCCGCTGGACGGGCACGAGCTCGGCACCGCGGTGGCCCTCCGCCTGGCGCGGGCTCGGCCGCGGCGCCGCCGCGGCTCCGAGCCCCAGGGCCGCCCGCCGCGGGCGGCCGCCGCGGAGGCGCCAGGTGCGCGCGTGCGGCTGGAGGTGCGGCTCCTCGGCGGGCCGGTGGCGCTGACCGTGCCCGCGGACTGGACGCGCGAGGAGGAGGAGGTGCCCCTGCCGCTGCCCCCTAGCTTAGCGGGCTCGCTTCCGCTCGGCTCGTTGTCGCTTTCTGTTGGGGAGCCTTCACTTGGAGGCCCATGCATACCCACGGCTGGAGTCGCCTCGAGATTCTGGTCAGAGTGCGCTCTGGGGGGAGGTCCGGAGAGGTTAGTCGTGTCGCTATCTAGGGGCCTTCGGCCCATCCCGCCACACTGCCTGGACTGCGGGTGGGAGGCCTCTTGGATGCATATGCTTAGGCCGTCCTGGGCCCTAACAAGTCATGCGACAAAACGCGGGGAACCACGGGAGAGCCGCAGGGAACCCTTGGAAGATCTTGCGTCTAGGCCACTTGATTTTTAACTCTGAGGATCGAGCACCGGGGTCTATCAGGGACCTGAGGACACTCCAGCTCGTGCCTCGCGGCACGGTGCTAGACCGTTCGGTTCCCCTAGGACGTTCTCGCAGGTGGCCGAACAGCTACAGGAAGACCAGGGCCTGGCGCACCCCCCGCGGCTCACTGCTGGCTGCAGGCTGCTCGACCCGCGCGAGCTCGTCGCCGCCGCGGGCGGCGCCGCGGCGCAGGTCGGCCCCGAGGTGGTCTTGGAGGCCTTCGTGGTGCGACCGAGGTGCGACCTCTCACGGTGGCCCGGGCGCGAGCTGCTCTGGCGGCAGCTCTTCCTCCGCAGGGCCTCGGCCCCCCACGGGTGCCTCTTCGCCGACGACGACGAGGTGGACCTCATGCCCTTCGCCGTGGGGGAGGACCGGCTCCTGCTGGTGCCCACCGCGCACCGGCCGGTGCCGTCCGACGAGTTCTGGCTGCTCGGCGCCGCGGAGCCCAGCGCCGCGCACGACCCCCGGCCGGAGCCGCGGGCGCCCTTCCTGGGCCTGCGGCGCCTCGCGCTGCCCCTGCCGCCGGGCGCGGGGCCCGTGCGCGTGGCGGAGGCGTGCAGCGCCGAGGTGGCGGTGCTCGTCGGCGGCGGCGGGGGCGCCGCGCTGCTGCGGCGCTTCCGGCTGGCGGGCGCGGAGCTCCTGCTCGGGGGCGCGCGCCTCGAGGAGGTCGGCGCGCCGCGCGCGGTGGAGTGCTCGGAGGACGACGCCCGCGAGCAGGAGAAGACGCGGGCGTACGTGCTGGCCCACCTGCTCCACCCCGAGGCGCGCGGGCACTACCAGGCCCCGGCGCCCGCCGTCCGCCTGGAGACGCGCGCGCTGCCCCGCGGCGAGGAGCCCACGGGCGTCCGGCGGAACCTGCGCAGGAGGGTCGGGCCGGGCGAAAGGGGGGGATTGGGAAAGGAGGTGGTCACGAAGTGTGCTGCAGGCAGCTGGTTTCGGCCTCACCGAGGGGCCCATGCCGGGATAATACATGGCCGCCTCCGGCGCCGGGAGGCGCCGGGAAAATCAGCCACGTGAGTTGATTCTCAAACCCCTCCTTTGCTCGCCCCCCCTTTCGCCCGACCCGAGAGGGGCGCCAGTCACGACCACCTGTTCCTGGCCCTGGGCGCCTGCACCGGGGAGGAGCTGGGGCGCATCGTCGCCGCGTGCGGCCGCCAGCACGCCTGCGCCCTGGCGGCGGACTCGGAGCTGGCGCTCCTGCCCGGAGAGCACGGGGACGAGGACGCCTTCTTCGAGGATCGGCGGCGAGCGAGGGGGGGAAGCGAGAAGGTGAAGGCCTTCTCAGAAGGCGGCGGGGCTGCTCAGAAGCCCTCGCGCCTGCCTGCTGAGCAGTCTCGCTGTTCTGTCTTCGGGGGAGGGGCTAAGAGAACCTCTCAGCAGGCCGGGGGGGCTTCCAAGCCTCCTGAGAAGGCCTGCTCAATCTCGCTTCCCCCCCTGGGGCTTGCCGCCGAGAGGAGATGCGGCTCTTCTCCTGGCGCACGGGCAAGCTGGTCCGCAGCGTGCCCCTGGGCTTCCGGGGCCCCCAGGGCAGCTGGACCGGGCGGCCGCTCATGGAGGCGGACTCGGCAGCAAAGCACGGGAGCCTTGTGCACACTCGCAGCTCCGTGTCTCGAGTATGCTGGCGTCGACCGTCGAAGAAGAAAACACGGCATACAGATAAGCGTCTGGCGCTCCGCGAGGATTTCTCGGCTCCGCGCTGGGCCCCCCCCGGCGGCGCCTCCCTGGCGCCCCCGGCGCGCGCCAGGGAGGGAGGTCCAGCGCGGATCCAAGAGATCCGCGCGGAGCGCCAGCGCCAGAAGTTTATTTTTATGAGGTTCTGGTACTCGGTGATGAATAGCGCCGACATGGCGCCGATGAGCCTCGACGAGCGTCGATTGGCGTCGGTGTAGCATCGACGAGTGGCGATGAACGCCGATTCGTAAGAGACAACAGGATGGTGTGGGAGGCTCCCGTGAGTTGCCACCGAAGGCGGGGTGGGAGCGCGGTCTGCTGCCAGGCCCAGCTGCGGGTAGGAGTGGCCCTTCGCCAGAGTGGCCCACGTGTGCGAGGCTTTTTCGGGAGGGGCAGAAATCGGCATATACATGAACTTTTTACATGCCCGGAGTTCTTGGATCTGCGCTGGCCCCCGTCCCCTGTCCCTGGGGCGGCGCCGGACGCGGCGCCTGACCGTCAAAAGTTTATGTCTATGCTGGTTGCTCTCCCTCTAAAAAAGCATCAAGGCTGGGCGTGTTCGGACGTCCTCGCTGGTTCGTCGAGGGATGCGTTCCAGCAGCTGCGCCCCGCCAGCGTTCCTCGGTTGCCGGGATCCTCCCGAGAACGTTCGCCAGGGACCCGAGTTCGAGCTCGACAGCCCGACGACCCTTCGCCCTGGGCCAGAGGGACCTTTGCTGCGCAGATTTCGTTGGGGCGCGAGGGGGGCAGGCCCGAGCGCGCGGGCTGCCACTGCTGCATCGCACACACCGATCGGCAGGCCGCGCACCCAAGGTCACTCTGACCCATCCTCCTCCCCCCCTCCTCCTCCTCCTCCTCCTCCTTTTCCCCTTCCTCCTCCTCCTCCTCCTCCTCCTCCTCCTCCTCCTCCTCCTCCTCCTCCTCCTCCTCCTCTTCCTCCTCCTCCTCCTCCTCCTCCTGCCCGCAGCCGCCAGGCCAGTCGCAGACCTTCTTCGTGCTGTTTCCAGAGCCGGGTGGCTACGGCCTGGCGCTGTGCTGCCCCCTTCCATCGGCCCCACAGCAGAAAAGAAGTCTGCTGCCGCCATCCCTCACGACACTCAACCCGCATGGTAAGGAGTGGCAACCTCCTCCTCCTCCTCATCCTCCTCCTCCTCCTCCTTCTCCTCCTCCTCCTCCCTCCTCCTCCGCATCCTCCTTCCTCTTTCCTCCACCCCTTTCCTCCTCCTCCTCCTCCTCCTCCCTCCTCCCTCTCCTTCTCTCCTCCGCCTTTCCTCCTCCTTCCTCCTCCTCCTCCTCCCCCCTCCTCCTCCTCCTCCTCCTCCTCCCCTTTCTTCGTTCTCTCATCCCCTTCGGGGACGCCAGCACGAATACAGACTCCAGGGGTGACCAGTTCACGCGAGCTGGGGACTCCATCACTACCCTCAAATCGAAACCGGTGCATCTTTGGCTCTTCGGTCCATGCTTGGCCTCTTTCGTTGGCTGCGCCCCGCTCCTTCGAAATAGGCGTCCAAGGCCCTTGCATCCTGATCGCGCACCCTTCTAATACGGGTCGACTGTCGCCTGACATGCACGCATCTCCCTATCACCGGCATCACCTCATCTCGGTGCCGATCCTCAGGATTCCCCCCAGCTCCTGCAGGGCGCACCTCCACGACTGCCGTCGCCTCGGGCCTGTCGACCCGTGGGCCTCGGGATGAGCTCGAGGCTGGGCCCCGGCGCACCCGCAGGCCCGCCTCCGTGCCCGCAGGCATCTTGGCCGGGGGGCGCCCGCCCAGCGGCCCCCCCTCCGCCGCCTCGCGGCCCCCGAGGCCCTGGGGCTCCTCTCCGCGAGCTCCTGCCGCGCCTCTGGGCTCCTGCGGCCGCCTGTGCGGACGCCACGGCCGACTCGTCGGCCGAGCGGCCTCGGGCTGCCACGGCCCCGCCAGAGCACGGGCCCCGCTCGGGTGCCAACGCCGGCGGCCGAAGGGGCTCGGACGCCGAGCGGGCGCCCGAGGGGCGCCAGCCTGGGGGGACCCCGCAGCCCGCGGCATCCGACGACGAGAGTGTTCTTGTGTTTGCGCGCGTCCCCACTGGTCCCGAACCCTTGACCATAGGAGCTGGCGTCTGTGCTGGCACCGCAGGAGCGGTGTAGCGGGCCCCATGAGGCCGAAACAGCTGCAGGCAGAACGCGGGGATTGGATGCGTCATATCGCTGGAGACTTGTGCCCATGGGCCCGACGGCCATAACTCGAGCCCCGGCTGTGTGGGACGACGATGCGGGCACCCCCAGAGCGCTCTCGACGAGGCGCAGCTGCTAGAAGGCATCCAGAGGAGAGAATGCCCCTCAGAACAGGCAAAAGGTTGCAAGGCCGCACCCAAGAGTTCGACCAGAGCCCTGGCCGCCATCCCTCTGCGGCACTCCTCCAGCGGGCTCGCTTCTCCAGGGCCCCGGGGCCCCAAGACAGGGCAGACACCGCCCGCCTGGCACGGACGCTGCGACGCCAGGACCTCCGTGAGGGGCTGCGGGGCGGAGGCCTCCCGGCCTCCTCCCGAGCCGGAATGTCGGGCCTGTCCCCACCACAAGGGGACCTTCGAGGAAAAATTGGGAATACCCCAAAGAAATACACCAAAAAGGTCAAGAAATACTCGGAAACTAGTCCCCGGACTATTTCTGGATTATTCTAAGGGTATGTTTCATTTTTCGTCGAAACTCCCCCTGTAGGGGGACAGGCCCGACATAACCCGAGCCGCGGGAGCCCCGCGGCCCGCGCCCGACGGCGCAGCCGCCCATGGCGCCCGGCGGCCCCGAGGGCGCCCCGCCGCCGGCCGACGGCCCTGAGCACGGCGAGCCCGCGGCAGCCGCCGCGGCCGACGGCGGCGCCGCCGAGCCGCCGCCGCCGCCGCCCGTGCCCGAGGGCTCCGCCCCCGACAGGGCGCGGAGGGGCGCGCGGGCGGAGCCTCGCCACGGGTCGCCGAGCGTGTGCCACCACCCGAGAAGTGCCTGCTCGCAAGCGCCCGAGGAATCACAGGTTCGCACCGTTGTCATGGCTCCTCCTCCTCCTCCTCCTCCTCCTCCTCCTCCTCCTGCTCCTCCTCCTCCTGCTCCTCCTCCTCCTCCTTAGACGTAACTTCTCCCTGCCGCGCACCGAGGCCAGTTTGTGGGGCGGTCCGGGCGATTCGCCTGAGATTTCCTCGCCATGTATGATTCTGAAGCTCACAAGTTGGCAGCAGTTTCGCAGAGGGAGAACGGGTAGTTTTCAAAAGTGAGTCTCGCCTTAGCACGGCGCACATTCATTCAAACAAGCTGCAAGAGCTTTACATATGGACAGTGGGTCGTTTTCAACATGTGGCTCTGGCCTCATCGCGGCGCGCATTATTACCTAACAGCTTTTGCTGATAGGTGTCTAGTGGACTCAAAAGAGAGCATCTGATGACTCCACAGGGGGGTCTGGGCGGGTGCCAGGGCAAAGAACCGGGAACAGAGCCGGGCTCGTTTTAAGCCAACAGTCACACACTTCGTGCTCTTCGACCTCCCAGAACTCCATTCCCGGGCCACATTTTGAATAACCAGAGCCAGCTGTAGGCCACTTCGTGCTCTTCGACTTCCCAGAACTCCATTCCCGGGCCACATTTTGGATGCCCGGAGCCAACTGTAGGCCACTTCGTGCTCTTCGACTTCCCAGAACTCCATTCCCGGGCCACATTTTAAATAACCGGAGCCAGCTGTAGGCCACTTCGTGCTCTTCGACTTCCCAGAATTCTATTCCCGGGCCACATTTTGGTTGCCCAGAGCCAACTGTAGGCCACTTCGTGCTTTTCGACTTCCCAGAACCCCATTCCCGGGCCACATTTTGGATGCCCGGAGCCAGCTGTAGGCCATTTCGTGTTCGTAGAGTTCCTAGAACTCCATTCCCGGGCCACATTTTGAATGCCCGGAGCCAACTGAAGGCCACTTCGTGGTCTTCGAGTTCCCAGAACTCCATTCCTGGGCATGATTTTGAATGCCCGGAGCCAACTGTAGGCCACTTCGTGTTCTTCGAGTTCCCAGAATTCCATTCCCGGGCCACATTTTGAATGCTGAGGCAGGCTGAGGCTGAGGCTGAGGCAGGCTGAGGCTGAGGCAGGCTGAGGCTGAGGCCGAGGCTGAAGGCGACTGAGGCTGAGGCTGCAAGCTGAGGCTGAGGCTGAGGCAGGCTGAGGCTGAGGCTGGCTGATGCTGAGGCAGGCTGAGGCTGAGGCTGAGGCTGATGCAGGCTGAGGCTGAGGCAGGCTGAGGCTGAGGCCAAGGCTGAAGGCAGACTGAGGCTTTGGCTGAAGCAGGCTGAGGCTGAGGCTGAGGCTGAGGCTGAGGCAGGCTGAGGCTGAGGCTGAGGCAGGCTGAGGCTGAGGCAGGCTGAGGCTGAGGCAGGCTGAGGCTGAGGCTGAGGCTGATGCAGGCTGAGGCTGAGGCAGGCTGAGGCGGAGGCCGAGGCTGAAGGCAGACTGAGGCTGAGGCTGAAGCAGGCTGAGGCTGAGGCTGAGGCAGGCTGAGGCTGAGGCTGAGGCAGGCTGATGCTGCAGGCTGAGGCTGAGGCAGGCTGAGGCTGAGGCTGAGGCTGAGGCTGAGGCTGAGGCTGAGGCTGATGAGGCAGGCTGAGGCTGAGGCAGGCTGAGGCTGAGGCGAGGCTGAGCAGGCTGAGGCAGGTGAGCAGAGGCCTGAAGGCAGACTGGCTGAGGCTGAAGCAGGCTGAGGCTGAGGCTGAGGCAGGCTGAGGCTGAGGCTGAGGCAGGCTGAGGCTGAGGCTGTGACTGCGACTGCCGTTTGCCACTGCGACTGTCATCGCGAATGCGACTACGACTGCGAGAACAGCAGAATTCTACAACTGGATTCTCATCCGAATCTTAAGGGGAATGCTTCCAGATATGCTCCTACACATCGCTGTTAGGTTGCTTTGCCGGGATAATCGTTTAACAATCTGCAAGAGTTTCACAGACTGAGGGCGGGTCCTTTTCAAGATGTGGCTCTCGCCGCAGCGCGGCGCACATTCGTTTGTGAAAAATTGCAAGAGTTTCAAGGATGTCCATCATCAGCGTGCCACAAACGATTTTTTGAAAGGGCTCAGGATCATGCGGGCACAACAGTTACGTTGATTCGCGGTGTTGAAGTCCCACGGATGGCGCTCTGGCGCAATTCAAAACCGTCAAGGCGCAACAGTCAGGTTCATCAGTGGCGTTGCAATCCCGGAAACAATGCTTTGGCATGCTTCAGGTTCTTCTAACGGTTGCCTTCGAACGAGGTAGTTCCCTCAATGGAAATGAAACATGTTAGGGGCCTGTGAAGAGGGTTTACACTGGTCCTCCTCCTCCTCCTCCTCTTCCTTCTTCTCCTCGTAATGGATGCATCGTAAACCTCCCGCGGCAGATCCAGGCCGTTTGCGAGCAGCTACTTGCGAGTCGTGGGACTCGCCTGTCTGGCGGGGGAGGCGGGTCCTGAGGTCTTTCGCGCGTGCAGGGCGCTCGGAGCCCCCCACGGGCCCCAGGGCTAGACAACGACTCGGCATGACAGGAGACCTCGTCCTGGGGGGGGGGGGGGGGGGGCAGCCCCAGGGTCCAGGACCCCGTTTCCCCTGGGGACCCGTCTCCCCCGCGGCCCAGGAGCCGGGCGGGCCTCGCGTGGAGTTCACCGCCCAGGTGCTCCGCTGGCGGGGAGATCGGAGGGAGGGGAGGATCGGCCAGAGCAGTGCGGGCAACATTCCTGTCCATATCCACTGCAGTATGGAGTTCCGGGCCCCCTTCCCCAGAAACCCGAGGCGCACTGTATATGGATAAACTTGCCCACCAGTGCGCCTCGGCCTTGAGGCGCTTCTTCCAAAAATGATCAAGAAGCACTGGATATGGATAGAAATGTTGCCCGCAAGCAGGAGCCCGGGAGGGCCCGCGCGGGCTGCTTGGCTCGGCGTTGGACCCGCCTGGGCGAGGGAGGAGCTGCGTGAGCACAGGCTCTCGGAGCTCCGCGCGAATTTCTTGGGTCTGCGCTTGGGCCCTGCGCGCCCGTTGCGCCGCCGCCCGACCGCTGGGCAGCAACGCGAGGCACAATCCCCCGAGCCTTCGCCAGCGCCCCCAGCTGGCCAGCAATCATGAAGCTGAACCCCATCAAGCCATGGCGAGCCCCCCCCTCCCCAGCTGGCCAGCAGGCGTAAAGCGCAATCCCTCAAGCTACTCACACATGACCAAAAGCTTTGGGCAGTTTTCGGCCTCTCGGGGCCTTCGCCAGGCCCCGGGATCGACGTCAAAGGACGACTCGGTATGAAACACGTTCACCGCCCAGGTGGTCCCCGCCTCGTGGGGCTCTGCTGTGGCCCGCCCTCGATTTGCAGCGGCAGGGGGAAGGAGGAGGAGGAGGAGGAGGCGGGAGTTCGACGATTTCCAGGCTGTTCTCGTGGCTTTCCCATGCTTCATGGGCCCGGGATGCTTTTTCCACCAGCTGCACCTCATCGAGGGCCTTTCTGGGGATGCCAGGACACTTCCCGAGCGGCCGCCCGAGGCCGGAGCCCTGCCCCGACAAAAAGCAAGCGGAGCTCCTCGCGCGGGTGCTCCACCGGAGCTCCGGCAGCAGGCCTTTCCCGACCCTCCCGCGCGGGGCTCTCGTCTCGGACCTCTCGCGCGTCTTCGCCCCCTGCCCCTTCCCTCCTCTTGCCCCCCTGCCTCCTCCCGGCGGCGAGCCAGGGGGGGCAGCGAGAAGGGGCGGGTCTTCTCAGAAGGCTCGGAAGTCCCCCTGCGCCTTCTGAGAAGTGTTCTAAGCCTTCCCCGAAGACGCAGAAGACTCCTCAGAAGGCGCGAGGGCTTCTGAGCAGTCCCGCCGCCTCCTGAGAGGGCTTCCTCCTCCTCACTTCCCCCCCCTCGCTGGCCGCCGACCCTCCCCCTGCCTCCTCCCCCTGCCCTCTTCTCCCAGTCCCTCCCGCTGCCCCCCCTGCCCTCCTCCCTGCCTGCTGGCCTGCTCCCTGTGGCGCCGTGCCGGCGGCCCGTCTCATGGGAGGGAAGCTCGCGAGGGCACCGCCCAGAGGTGCTCCGCGGGAGGGGGGCTGCGGCTCCCAGACCCCCTCGCGGGGCTCCCTTTCTTTACCAGCGCGAAGGAAGCCCTGCAGGCACAGAGGGAGGGGAGGGGGAGGGGAGGGGCAGGGAGGGGGGTGACAGAAGGAGCAGCAGCTCAGCCCGGAGCTGCTGGCATGAGCCTCACTCCGGCGGCCCGGCCAGCGCCGCGAGCCGCCGGCGCAGCGCGGCACGCCGAGTCCTCCGAGTCGCTTCGTTTCGCTTCGCTTCCGACCGGTGCGGAATCCTGCCCGATTCGGCTCCAGATGCCGAGCTGGAGCTCGTTTCCTCAGTGGCGGCCTGGCGGGCCCGCCGATGTCTATCCACCGATCCGACCCATTTCAAGATCGTTGTTGCGCCTCCCCGAGGCGCTCCTGGGCCCTCCTGCCCCTCGCGCCCCCCGCCCTCCCGGGCTGCAGTTCCCAGGCCCCCTTACGCCATAGGTTGGCACCCTAACGACCGGCGGCGACCCCGCCGCCGGCGTTCAGCGTGGAGCGCCGCTGGCGACCCAGAATCGGTCGATGTCCCTGACCTTCCAGGAGGTCTAAAAAATAGCACGCGACTTCAAAACCTATCCAAGAGCTATTCTACGTCTTGGTTTTAGGCTGTTTCGTCTAGTTTTTTAGGTTTTTAGGTCTCCAGTACGAAAAAGTAGCTCTCTGGAAGGTCAGGGGTTTGACGATCTGGGGTTTCGGCATCGGCCGATCCTTCAGGTGGAACGATCCCCTGCGTTGGCGGGAGCCGACGCCGCAAGGTCGGCACGGCCCAATCTCTTGCCGCACGCGGGAGGGACTCTCAGGAGGGGACAAAAACACACAGAGACACAATGCATCGTCGGTGCCCAGGAAAATCTGCGAAAGTACGGGGAGTGGGGGGAAGACAAACACCTAGAAAATATAAGAAACTATGGGGGATCTTTTTATTGGTGTCTATTTACTTGTGTGTCCCAGGGCCCCTTCATGGACGGGATGGGACTTGGGCGGTCGGTCGAGCCGTCGCCGTAAGCCGGCTCCCCGAGCCATTCACAGCTCGGGGCGGAAGGAGTACACGAGCTCGCCGTGCCCGCCCACGAGGACATCGACGAGGGGCAGGGGCAGGAGGAGAAGGAGGAGGAGGAGGAGGAGGGGGGAAGAGGAGGATGAGGAGGAGGAGGAGGAGGAGGAGGAGGAGGAGGAGGAGGAGGAGGAGGAGGAGAGGAGGAGGAGGAGGGAGGAGGAGGAGGAGGAGGAGGAGGAGGAGGAGGAGGAGGAGGAGGAGGAGGAGGAGGAGGAGGAGGAGGAGGAGGAGGAGGAGGAGGAGGATGAGGAGGAGGAGGAGGAGGAGGAGAAGGGAGGAGGAGGGAGGAGGGAGCGCTGTGAGGCCATCTGCGGGAAGTCTCTCCCCCGCGCTCGCGCCCTTGACGCGGCGGCGGACCCGAGTACTGCTGCTCGGCGGCGTCGCCACGCTCCATGCCCACCACCGCGTCGACGGCGATGCAGCCTTGAGCGCCTCTGCCGTCGCCCCCTCGTACGCGGGAGGAGGGCAACGAAGACCGTCGCCAGGCTCCATCCCCATCACCGCGTCGGCGCCGCAGCAGCCTTGAGCGCCTCCACCGTGGCCCCTCGTACGCGGGCGGAGGGCGACGAAGACCGTCGCCAGGCTACATCCCCATCACCGCGTCGACGCCGCAGCAGCCTTGAGCGCCTCCACCGTGGCACCTCGTACGCGGGCGGAGGGCGACGATCTCACGATCCGTAGTGTTAATTTTCAAATAATCCACTGGCTGGGGTTTTCTCTGGTGTAACTATTGTTTTTGCTCTTAGAACATTTTCTGGGTTCTAAGAACATTCCGTGGTAGGCCTAAAATGCCGGGACGGTCGGCCCCTGCTCAACAGAAGGGGCTCACTGTTCGTCGGGTCATGCCTTGTTTGTTCCTCTATAGCCGGCCTTCCTCGTGCACCTCGGCTCTCTTGACCCCAAGCCCCTCGAGCCCGAGCCTCACGCCAGGGGTCGATCCAAACGGTGTTTTGGCGACTTCGCGGGCTGGTTTCGTTTCGACTCCGTCTTGCAGCAGAGGCGGATGGAAGACAAAACGACGGAAAACGTGCACAAAGCGTAGACGAAAAGCACAGTTCAGATAGATCCTTGCATTACGCCTCCCCGGTGCAGGTGCAGCACAAGCGGGACTACGGGAACCGCCTCGCCTTCTTCGACGTCTGCCCCCAGGCGGCCGGCGGCGGCCAGGCCGACCTCGCCGCGGGCGGCGGCACCGCATCCTCGCCATGAGCTCCAGGGGGTCGGGACGATCGAAGTGGTTATTCGGCGGCGAGCGAGGGGGAGAAACTTTCGGGTTCGAGGTTCGAGGTTTTCGAACGTTTTCGCCAGTTCTCGGTGTTTTCCAGCCTCGGGATGCTTGCCAACAGTTGCGCCTCGCCGAGGCCGTTCTGCGGGTGCCCGGATCGTCCCGAATGGCCGCCGGAGAACCGAGTTATGTGCCACAAACCAACTTCGGCGGCGAGCGAGGGGGAGAAATGAGAAGGAGAAGGCCTCCTCAGAGGGCAGCGGGACTTCTTAGAAGCCCTCGCGCCTTCTGGGAAGTTGTTGTTTTATGTCTTCGGGGAAGGCTCTGAATACTTTTCGGACGGCCAGGGAGCTTCCGTGCCTTCTGAGACGGCCCGCCCCTTCTCACTTCCCTTCTGGGCTCGCCGCCGAGGGTTGGGACGATCGAAAGGGTTACGGCAGGTGCAAGTCGTGTCGACCGGCGGCGACCCCGCCGCGGGCGTTCCACGTTGACCGCCGCCAGCGACCCAGACTGGTTCGCAGTTGGATGATCTGACGCTTCGAAATCGACCGAACGCTCAAGGCTGAACGACCGATGCCCGCGCTGTCAGGAGCCAGCGTCGGGGTGGACACGACCCGAACCGGCGGAACGGAAAGAATGGGTGCGAGGACCGACGGCATTTCTTGTGCATTCTGAACGCCTGGCATCGCTCGGACGTGTGCATTTTTTCGGCGAGGACCATCGAGGAGCATCCTTGATCATTTGGCGATAAAACCACGCACGAAACCGAAAAAACACAGGAAATGGACGTCCGAGCGATGGCCAGAACAGGACCCTCGTCCTCAGCGGAAGACGGCGGAAGGTCGGCGGAAGTGGAAAAGGCGAGGCCGCCTCTGCCTGCGGAGGCCGGCGGACGTAAAGCATGCGCTTCCAGTCAGTGGTTCCAAGATGGGGTCCTGAGGGATGGGGTCCTAAAGACGAGGTGCTTCATAGAACGTAAATCCACCCTTGGATCCCTTCCTATCCTTGGGCCCCCATCCCTCAGGGCTCCATCTTTGAGCCACCGATCCAGCAGATGGCAACTTTCTAGGCCTCGGATTGAGTCGGGCGTGTCCCTCTACAGGGGGAATATCCAACAAATGATTTTCAAAATAGTCTGGGGACTATCTTTTGATTACTTTTTTAAAAATAATTTGCGAATATTTTTGGGGGTATTTTTTATTGAATCGCTTCGCTCATTCCGCCGGCCCTGGAGCGCTATTTGGGGCCTCTCGGGGCCGTCTTGGGGGCTTCTTGGGGGCTTCTTGGGAGCGTCTTGGGGCTCCTTGGCGGCGTATTGGGCTCCCCGGGGGCCTCTTGGGGGGCTCTTCGGGGCCCCTTGGGGCGGGAGGGGGGGTAGATTTGTGTGTATTTATTTGTGTGTCTGCAGAAACGCAGCGTGCCGCATCTTGTTTGTCTTGCTTCTGTCGTCGTCGTCGTCGTCGTCGTCGTCGTCGTCGTCGTCGTCGTCGTCGTCGTCGTCGTCGTCGTCGGGGGTGTGATGGGAAGCATCGCGCTCTGGGCGGCGTGCGGAAGCCATTGTGTGAAAGGGCGCGGTGGTAAGAAAAACAGCTCACCCCACCCGGCTTTCCGGGCTTTCCGGCGTAAGGAGGGCTTCTTCGCGGCACTTGTGTGCTTTTTGGGCAGGTTCTTGACGCTTGTTGCAAGTCTGTAGGGGCCCCGTTGGGAGTCTACCGAAAGGAGAGCACATTGTAGCATCGCTTGCACTTGTTTGCGTGCTCGGGGGGGCATTTGGGGGGCCTCCTGGGGCCGCTTGGGGGACTCTTGGGGGCCTCCTGAGGGCCTCGTGGGGGCCTCTTGGGGCCTCTTAGGGGCCTCTTGGGGCCTCGTGGGGGCTTCTTCGGGCCGAGGGCTCGAAATGTTGTTTCGTGTTCCCTCTCTGGGGCCTCGTGGGGGCTTCTTGGGGCCCTCTTGGACCGTCTTGGAGGCTTCTTGGGCCGTCTTCGAGCCCTCTTGGGCCATCTTGGGGCCCTCTTGGGAGCCTTTTGGGCCCTCTTGGGGCGATCTTGGGGGCCTCTTGGGCCGTCTTGGGGGCGTCGGGAAGCCGACAAGGTGGAAACTCCAAAATCCTTCAGAAACCTAAGGAAAAACAATGAATTTTGCCTCCTGGGGCCCTCTTGGAAGTGCTCTTGGAGGCCTCTTGGGGCGTCTGGGGGCTATCTTGGGCGTCTTGGAGCGATCTTGTGGCATGTCGGACCCCTCGTGTACCATCTTGGGGGCCTCTTGGGGGCCTCTTGGCCTTTCTTGGGGCTCTCGGGGGCATCTCGGAGCCCTGTTAGTGCGCTCATGGAGCGCTCTGGTGGAGTCGCCCGGGGATCAGCCAGGACTCGCCTGGGGTACTTTTCGTCCGGGGACCCCCAGGGGCCGCCCCGCGCGCGCGAACTAGAGAATTGTTGACCAATTACCAGAGATCTTAGCACGCCTCTGGCCCGTTGGGCCGGCGAATTTTTCGTCGAAAATCCCTTTGTAGGTGGACAGGCACGACTTAAGCCTCGGAGCTTCCAGCGGCGGCCGTGTCGGCGCGGCTGCGGCCCCGCCGCGGGCGCCTTGGAGGCCGAGCGTCGCCAGCGGCCCAGAGCGTCGCTCCGCAGGGAGCGACCTGGCGATCGCTACGTCGCCGATCTTACCCTGACCTTCCAGGAGGGCTAAAAAATAGCACGCGACTTAAAAACCTATCCCTGAGCTCTTCTACGTCTTGGTTTTAGGCTGTTTCGTTTCGTTTTTTTGGTTTGTAGGTCTCCAGTGCTAAACAATAGCTCCCTGGAAGATCAGGGTAACCGGGCCGGACGAAGGGGTCGGGTATAGCCAGGACCCCGGGTAAGGGGACCTGGTTAGTGGTAGGGCCCTTGGGCCCCTCAATTGGCCAGATTCACTAAACCAGGTTTGCCGTAACGGGTGTGTTTCGGGTGACGGCAGTTCCGGTGAGTGGAACTGGGACGGGGGGGCGCCCCCGGTACGAATCACCAAACCAGGTTCCGCTAAACCCAGTTCTGCCAACGCCCGAAAGGGGTGGGATGGGGCCCTGACCTTCCAGAGAGCTATTTTGTTAGCACTGGAGACCTACAAACAAACAAAAAAACGAAACAGCCTAAAACCAAGACGTAGAAGAGCTCAGGGATAGGTTTTTAAGTCGCGTGCTATTTTGTAGCCCTCCTGGAAAGTCAGGGGGAAAGGGGGGGGTACGCAGTCTGCTGCACGCAGCTGGCTTCGGCCCTACCGAGGGGCCCATTCCTCGATGCCATGGCCGCCCTCCGGCGCCCGGCGGCGCCGGGAAGGTCAGCTATGAGTGAGTTGATTCTCGCCCCCCCCTTTGCCATCCCCCCCTTTCCCCTGACCTTCCAAAGAGCTACTTTGTAGCACTGGATACCTAAAAGCCTAAACAACTATACGAAACAGCCTAAAACCAAAACGTATAATAGCTCTGGGATAGGTTTTTAAGTCGCGTGCTATTTTTGTTTGCCCTCCTGGTACTCGCAAACGTCCGAACTAGATGGCTTCCTCCATGTCATGGAGCGTAGATCCCCCGCGGCGGCTTCAGGCCATTTGCGAGCAGCCGCTTCGCCCGGCACGATATAAGGCTCGAGCGAGCCTCGAAGAAGAACGCACGCTACAAACACAAAGCTGCTGGCGCTCCGCGCAGATTTATTGGATCCGCGCTGGGGGCCCCCTTGGCGGCGCATTCGGCGCTGCCCCTGGCGCGCTCCGCGCGCCAGGGAGGGGGGTGTTCTGTTTCGTTCTTCTAGAACTAGGTCGGGCCTGTCGCTCAACAGAGGGAATATTCAAGAATAGTAAAAGAATCGTATGGGGACTATTGTTTTAGCGTTTGTTGGCCATTTTGGCGCATTTTTAAAAATATTTCTAATTTTTCGTCGAAAATCCCCCTGCAGGGGGACACGCCCGACTTAGTTCTAGAACCACGCAGGGTCGCCTTGTCCACTGCTTTGGGAAGCCACCTCCAGTGGATATCGACAGCATCGGTCTCAGGGACCCCACAGATCTCCACATCTGCTGCCTCTCGGGGTCTTGGGACGTCAGTTCCACGAGCGTTGGGCATGGACGAATCGTTGCCTCGGATCGGGGAATGGGGTATTGAGCTGGTTGTTATATCTTCGGGCTCTCAGAATTCGTCCAAGTCTTGAGGGTCGTCAGGGCCCATTTCCCGCAAGACCCCTTGGGCTCATGGCAAAATCCGTCCCAGACGATCATACGGCAGAGATGGCCGTACAGGTCGTGGAGGTGGTGTTCAGCTATGAGGTTTACGGTAGCGATGTGCGCGCTTTGCGCAAGGACATCTCTCCAGGAGATTGTGTGCGCTTTTCAGGGACCTTCCGCCCGGGGGGTCACATCCTGGACGCGCTGACGTACACCATGATAAGCCGCTGGTCAGACAGAGGCGCCGGCCAGCATTTCAACAGCTACGCGCACGGCGCGCCATCGCAGGGCAAGCGCAACACGGCAGGCGGCGGAGCGCAGTTCGGCTCTTTCTGCAAATTCTGGATCACCAACGGCCGGTGCATGCGCGAGGACTGCCAGTGCGAGCACCCCGAAGGGGAGCTGCTGAAAGAGGCCCGGGGTCAGTTCTCCGAGCAGCAGAAGCGGCGCCGCACCCAGGCCGCCAAGGCCGGCGACCCCCACCGCCAGGAGGACAAGAAGAGCAGCGCGAACCGCGCCGCCGTCTTCGCGGAGCCTGGGAGCGTCCCAGAGGGGGGGTACTATTGGCGGGGTGGTGCGCGCGGAGAGGTCTTTCCGTTTCGACTCGTCGAGTCACGGGAGCCTCACGGAACGATCCGGCTCGGACCGAGGAGTCGAAAAACAGAGCTGGAGTCCGGAGCCGGTGCTGCTTGTGCTTCTCTGCGGTGTCTCGATTATTGTGCGCGCCGCCGACGCTCGGGGAGCAGCCTGGCGGGGGCCACGACGTCTCCCCGGTTGGCTCGCGGAGCCTCGTCTCATCTCCATGCGTCCCCGCCCCCCGCCTGGGCGGCGCACGTGCCGCTGGCCTTCAGTCGGGCCTGTCCCAATACCGGTGGATCTTCGAGGAAAAAATACCCCCAAAATGCACCAAAAGGTAACAAAAATACTCAAAAGATAATCTCCAGACTATTGTGGGGCTATTTTTTTATTATTTTATTGTTTTTTATTTATATTTATTTTTCGTCGACGATCCCCCTGTAGGGGGACAGGCCCGACTTAACGCTGGCCATGCTTCCCCCCCCTCCCCCCTTGGACGCCCCATCCTCGGACTCCACCCCCGAGGACTGGCTCTGCGCGGCCTACGGCGCGGAGGAGCTCCGCGAGGGCGGCGTGGTGGACGTGGCCGGCGGGCGGGGGGAGCTGGCAGCCGCAGACGAGAAAGTGGCATATGGACAGAAAAATGGTCGGAGGTCCGCGTGGATCTCTGGGATTTGCATTGCGCTTCCTGCCGGAGGCAGCTTTTTGTGCCAAGCAGATTGTTTGGGTCAGGTCCAGCATGCAATTTGCACTTGTCTGGATGTTGCACTGGAGAGGTCATGGATATGCACCGGGCGCCCCTGGCGGCGCCTCCGGCGCCGCCCCTGGCGCGCTCCGCGCGCCAGCAAGGGGGATTCAGCGCCGATCCAAGGGATCCGCGCGGACCTCTGAAAGTTCACGTTCATGCCGCCCTCTCCCTCCCTCTCTCGAGGCATTCGAGCTGAGCGTGAAGCGGCAGATCCCCGTCGTTGTAGTGGACCCCCGGTGCTCGGGAGGGCAAACGTACACGGACACAAATCAGACTCGGCTCCTCAAGAATAACAGATGGGCAGAGGAGAGGGAGACGGGCATCAGAATAGATCGAAAGTATTGGGAATCGTTGGATTTGTGCATACTTATTCGTGTGTCCCTGGGCCCCTCCAGGTGCCCCGGCGGCGAGGTGCCGGCGCGCTGGGCTGGCTTCCGGCTGTCGAGGGCGCAGAGGCTCTGGCTGGAGAAGACGGTGCCCGGCCTCTCGGGGTTCGAGGCCTGCCAGGCGCACGTGGAGTCGTGCAGGCCTCGGGAGGGGAAATTCGAAGAAGAAGAAGAAGAAGAAACGCCATAAACTGAAACTTTGAGCGCTCCGCGCGGGTTTCTTGGATCCGCGCTGGGCCCCCCCCGGCGGCGCCTCCGGCGCCGCCCCTGGCGCGCTCCGCGCGCCGGGGAGGGGGGTTCAGCGTGGATCCAACAAATCCGCGCGGAGCGCCAAGAAGACATCGAGATCCTGGCGGCCACACTGTTCACAACGGGCGATGCTGCGTCGCTTCGGGCCACGAGGCCCTCGCAGACCGAGCCGGGGCGACAAGTGGAGCGGAAATACGCGGTATATGGGGCTCCAGTCGAGTTTTGTCACGACCTTGCGCACGTGGAGTCGTGGAGAGAGAGAGAGAGAGAGAGAGAGTACGAATGGAAGCGTTGACATTACGCATGCGCTCTGGGGCTCCAGTCGAGTTCTGTTACGATGTTGCGCGCGTGGAGTCGTGCAGGCGTCGGGAGGGAAAGAGAGAGAGAAGGAGAGTATGAATGGAAGCGTTGATATGATCTTCAACAATGACACGCTGTTTTGTTCCCCCGCCGCGGCGTGTCGCTGATGCTCTCTGTTGCTCCGCCGAGGCTGCGCCAGTGCAGCGCCCTCGCACCGCTGAAGGATCGGGGAAACGTACGACTCGAGCACGCCAGAACTCAGGTTTGCCGACGCGGTTTGACGGGCCTGTTTTTAAGTCGGGCACGTCCCTCTACAGGAGGAAGATTTAACAATTGTTAAAACATCGTCTGGGGATGATGTTTCGATTATTGCTTGACTATTTTGGATTTTGTCTTCACTATATTTCAAATTTCTTTAAAATCTGCCTGTAGGGGGACAGGCCCGACTTAAGCCTGTTCGGTAACAAATCATGGGAGCCTGGTGTACCCTCTCAATTCCGTGCATAGCGTCTAGTAGCGTCGATTGGGTTTTGGGGGTCGATGATGAAATAGCGCCGATTTCGCGTCGGCCAGCGTCTACTAGCGTCGATTTAGCGCCGACTATCGTCGACTAGCGTCGATTCGCAAGAGAGTCTCCTATGAGTTGCCGCCGAAGGCTCTTATGAGTTGCCACCGGAGGCCGTTCCTGGATTCTGACGGCCCACTTTCCGCAGGATGCCTGCCGCAGGAGCTCGCGTCAACTCTCAGACTGGATCCCGCCACCTTCATGATGGCCCCGTGAGGCCAGCACAGACATGCGACGCCCTGATTGTTTCAGGACGGCGCCTCCAAAGTCCCGACTCGTTCCTCTGGACCGGTTTTCCATCCCGAGTCGTTTTGTTGACCGTCCCGAGGCCCAGCGAGGGCCCCCGAGGCCGAAATTGGCCAACAACCTTCCGTCATGATATTTTTTTGGCGACGCGATCATGTCTGGAAGTCCGAAAGTCCCCCGAAGAACCCGAGACCTGCGCCTCCCCGGAAGGACGGCTCGGAGCCCGAGGCGTTTTGGAAGGACATCGTGCCGGGCTGCCGCGTGATCGTGGGGCTGCACCCCGACCAGGCGACGGGCGGCATCGTGACCCTCGCCCGGGCCTTCCGGCGCCCCTTCGCCGTGGTGCCCTGCTGCACCTTCGCCGACGACTTCCCCGAGAGGCCGCCTCCTGTTCCTCCTCCTCCTCCGCCTCCTCCTCCGCCTCCTTCTCCTCCTTTCTCCTCCTCCGCCTCCTCCTCCTCCGCAGCCCCCCGTGCTCAGGAGATTGCTGCTCCTGGGGCAGGAGGGCCCCGACATCGTAGCGAACACTACTCGCTACGGCTGGTCGCCCCCCCCATCTGGCCCGCCGCCCACTGCACTATATGAGCATGTGATGTTGTTTCTTCTTGCTCTCGTGCGGCTGAGGGCGCTGGCGGTGATGTTCACATTCGTGCACTGGAATGCCCAGCACGCCGACATTGAACGACTGCATGACTTGTCAGAAGAATTCAAATACACCGACATCGTCGTTGTCACTAGCACAGGCGAGAGGGCGACATCATATCGCTCGGCGGTGTACGCGAACTCCAGATTTCACTTCATGATAAGATGTGGGTACACGCCTGGAAGGCACGTCAACAAGTCGTGCGGAGTGACGTTCCTACTACGCCGTCGGACGTTCAAAAAAAAGACGTGTACGACATCCCCTCGGTTCCTGCTGGCCTCCGAGGCAGAGTGGCCCTTCTCCGTCTACGGTCGGGCCGCTTCGATGTCCTGGTGCCTGCCCTATACTTCCCACCTCGTCCGAGCTGTCGTCGGGATGGATCCGAATCCCATGTGCACGCAGCGGCTGCGACGGCACAGTCTCGATACAGGGCGACGGTGGATCTGATCATTCAGTGGCTGGAGAAGCAGTTGACGTGGTCCAAGTGCCGCTCCTCGCTCTTGACGGGGTTCGACCTGAACGACTCTTTCGGCTGGAGGCGGCGCAAGGATGGTGTGATTGATCGGGTGCGGTCCCAGTCTCTTGGCCCGTTTGCGCGTGGCGAGCAGCGCTACGCCGCAGACCAGATGCTCGAGCTGTGTGAGAAGCATGCGGTGACCATCGCGTCGACGAGCTACAACATCGGAGATACGTTCTTTGGTGCTCAATCGTCGAGCTGCATCGACTACGTGGCGGTGTTCTCGTGGCAGATGTCGGCGGTGCAGTTTTGTACGGGGCTGCGCAGGACGAACATGAGGTTGAAGCTCTGTGGGCGACGTGGGCTGTGCGATCACGTCCCGATATTGCTGAAGCTGACCTACTCCTTCGACCTGAGCCCCTCTCGGCCCGAGGTGGCCCGCTGGGACTTCGACAGGCTCGCGATGGCGCTGAAGAAGGGAGTAGGCGTGCCCGAGTTCATGGCCGACTTAGAGCTGCAGTTCGGGGAGGCCCCCGACTTCCACGACCTGCTTGTAGGTGCGTCCTCGGCCGACCTGGGCTGGGAGAAGTGGGTGACGCTGGTCTATGAAACGGCTGAGCGACACTTCGCGAAGGGTGCCACGAGGGACCCGCTGGCGGTAGAGTACCAGCGAGCGCGGAGCCAGCTTCTACGAGAGCGTCGTGACGCACGGGAGCGTGGGTGCGGAGATCTGGCTTCGAGCTTGTTGCTGGCACGATGCAGTCGAAGGCTTCGACACCTCCGAAGGCCGCATCAGGATTCTACGACGGAGCTGTTGGTTGGAGAAATACGCGATGCCTGGGACAGTCGACGTCATGCGGAAGTGTGGCGCCTAGCCCACTCATTGGCTGGGAAATGCAGTGGACCCCGTCGACGTCGTTTTAACGTGGCTGAGTCGTATCTTCCCAGAAAGGACGAGATTCGTGAGTATTTCAGTGGGCCTGGTTGTGCTGGAGGGTTCTCCGCAGTGCCCGTCGAATTCGCCGAGTGCCAGAGATGCTTGCTGGACGACCTCCCTAGGCCCGAGCAGTATGGCAGCGACAACTTCTTGCACGTTGAACTTGGGCGAGACGACTTGGCCGAGGTTACTGCGTTGGCAGAGCGAGCGGCTCGGCGCAAGGCGGCCCCCTTGCATTCGGTGCCGTCGGAGCTGCTGATGATTGTGCTAGACCCTACTCGGAGGTTCGACGGATCACATCGCAAGCAACGCCGACGCGATAACGATGACGGTGTCGAAGATGAGGATGCAGATAGGCCTCTCCCTCGTCCTCAGTTCGCCCCTCGACATCGACTGGTGGGTGATCGTCGTGGCCTTGGCGTCGAGGCGGGGGGGGCGGTCTCGAACGAGCGGAGCTTGAAGGCTTTGCAGAAGATCTTTCATCACATACGGCGAGTGCGACGGACGCCTATTGTATGGCATCATTCATGGGCCACAGGACTGGACAAGCATAACAGTAAGGAAGGGTTCGCAGCGAGGAAGTGCATTCACGGTCTGTGTCGTATGGGAGTGCTGTGGTACAAAGCTCAGCTGGGCAGAGGAGTTGCCGACGCGGTGCCTGATCGTGAGCGCGGCTATCACCTTGGCCGCAGTCGTGAGGGAGCGCTTCTTTGTCAGGAGGCCTTGCTGTGGCGACTACGTGGATTGGGAGTCCCGACGGTCACAGCAAAGGAAGATATGGCGAATGTTTTCGGATGTTCTACTTTCTCGGCGTTGAGAAGGACGGTGGAGGCCTCGATTCAGCCTGAGACACAGTGCTACTTCCATCAGCGCCATGAGACGAGTACGTTCACGATGCGCGGAGCCGACGGCGAGCAGACAATGCACAACCTGTGTGGAGCTTTCATGGGCGATAGCCCCGCGGCAGTGTTCTTCGCTCGCACGTTCCGATGTTCCATACAGGAGTGGACGGACCGTCTGCGTGAGCAGACGTGGCGTGGTGCTCCCCCTCCTCGGCCTGAGACGCATGCAGAGTGGGCTTCTTAGGCTTTGGCGCCGCCGTCGCCTCCGGCGGATCCCGATCAGTTCTTGTGGCCGAGTGAGGCCATATGTACGGCATGGGTTCCCATCTTGCAGCGGCCCGTGGACTTATCTTGCAGAATATATGCGGGCGACACTAACAAGACCCACATTGTGACGACGGCCAGGAACGCCAAGTACACGCTCGAGCAGGCACACGTCCATCTTCGAGACCCGTTGGCCAAAGACGGTTACTCTCACAATGCTGGGAAAAGTTGCATATCACCATCCTTCGTCGGTCCAGGGTCGAAATATAACAACGCTGCTGTGTTTGGGGGATATATTCGGCTTCCTGGACAGGTGCAGTTTGACAATATTGCGTTGGGTATTCAGACGGCGGTTAATGGAGGGGCCCAGGGAGAACTGCAGAGAAGGATTCAGGCGTGTCGGAGGGGGTGCTACTCCATGGGACGCTTCTGGACCAGAAATCGAGTATGGCGCTTTACGAGGATCGTGTTCGGGGCCGTCGTACAGGGTGCTCTGCTTTCAGGACTTACTACGCTGGTGCTTTCGGAGGCTCAGGAGCTTCGGCTGGACAGGGTGCTCGTCGGTTTCGCTCGGAAGTTGCTCGGAGGAGATGCGTGTCAGGAGGTGGAGGAGAAGGATGAGGAGGGCAACGTGGTTTTGGACTCGCAGGGGAACCCCGTCGTTCGCTACAGGGCCCTCACCGATGTCGTTGTCTTTCGTCGAGTGGGGGTGGCCCCGTCGAGTGTCGAGCTCAGGGTGCGCAGGCTGAGGCAGTATCAGAGATGGGTGAGACATCCCGAGCGGCACCCGCAGGAGCTGGGTGCGATCTTCGGACAACTGCCGATTGAGTCTCATCCGACTTTGTGCAAGCAGGGATGGTTGCAGCATCAGTCGAACCCATATGCCAAGCGCTTCGCGTCCGACGTCCTGGCCCTGGTTCAGAAGTCTGAGGCCGAGCTCTTGGAGTCCTGGCTCTTCACTGGTCCCTCGTCAGACCCCGCTCTTAGGCTATGCGTGCGGGCGTTGTTCATGGATGGGGATCTTCGGGAGCAGTTCTTGGCGCTCGATCCTGGGATACTCAGAGCTGCTACACGCACCGTCACTATTCCTCCCCCTGTGGGTCTGTATGGTCCTCCCGTACCTCCAGGGGCACCTGGAGGTGATCTTGAGGTTCCCCCACCACCAGCAGCTATCTGGGAGTGTACGTTGCCGAACTCAGAGGGGGTCCCATGTGGCAGGCTATTTACTACTCGTCGTGCTATGCTAGCTCATCAACGATTTGCTAAAGGAGGTGGGCGCTCTTGTCGTTCGGTCGTGCACACTTTGATTGTGACCAACGAGTGCGTGGTTTGCAGGCAGGGGTTCAGAACCAGACGTATTGCCCAGGAGCACGCTGTACATGCTGTCCTTAAGGGTCGTTGTCCTCCGTTGACCACGCCTTTCCATCACTGTGTCCTGGAGCCAGAGAGTTTGTCGCGTCCCCTGTCCGAGCTGACGCTGGCCTGTGTTTATGGCCCGATACATCCCCAGGCCAACGCGGAGCATTGCTGTAACTATACGGAGCCGTTTGAGGATCGAGCTGCTCTCAATCTTCATTTGCGTCGACACGCGCCTCGAGTGCCGATCACCTGCGGGAGGCCAGATGCACCGCCTGGGGGCAGAGCAGCTGGCGGCGGCAGGAGCTCCACGCTCGAGGTCGCACGGCGGCGGGCGGGGCTCTCGCAGGGGCCGCTCTGGCTCGGCAGTGCATTCCCAGCAGCGTGGAGGTCGTCGGCGGCAAGACAGGCAGGCCGAGCCCGCCAGTGCGGCTCCCGTGCGACGCGGCCCTCGTCAGCTCCAGGCTGCGGCCCCCGCCCGCGGTGGGGGGCCTCCCGCAGATGCGCGCACGAAGGTCGGACAGGCGTACGGGTTGCCAGCCGATGCCATAGACAAACTCCCACCTATGGATATCCAGATGTGCGCCAAGCTCACGCCGATAATCATGAGGGCGGTCCTGGGCAACTCCTTCAACATCCGCCTCCTGCTGGCGGCCGAGTTCGTGACGATCACGATGGGCGAGGAGGCGGACCTGATCAAGGCGGGCTTCACTGCTGGCCGTGCGTACGCAGTCGAGGCGGCGAGGATGCCTGAGGCTCATCAGCAGGACCCGAAGAACAACGAGCTGCCCGAGGTGACAATGGGGCCAGCATGCGTGCAGGTCTTCATGGTGGCGGCGCGCAAGCTCACAGACGCAGGCGAGAAGGTTGAAGCCAGGAACGCGAAGGCCTGGACGGAGCAGCAGGTGAAGCTAGACGGCCTCAGCTCGATCGCGGACATGACATGTCTGGTCAAGGGGTTCCGCGTGAGCAGTGCGTTTCGAGAGGGCCTGGCGAAGATGGTGTTCAGCCTAGCAGATCCACAGATGCAGCGCGTCTTCCAGGAGTGCGTGGAGCAGCTCGGAGGGGAAGTGCGCCCAGGCATGGCCCCAAGGTCACACGCCGAGAGGTTGCTGCAGCTAGCGCTGGACGATATGGAGCTGTGACCGCGAGAGGCGTTAGAGCGCCTGGCGTCAGTTCGCAAGACCCAGACTTGGCTCCCTGGGCTACGTCGCCGAGTTTTGAAGGCAGCCGAAAGCGTCAGGTCGCAAGTCCCAGAGGTAGCCGCCTGGGCAATGTCGTCGCCACATCAGCGTCGCCAGTTTTGCAGGATGAGACGGGCGTAGTGTACGACGAAGGAGAGTTGAGGCACTGCAGTTCTCAGGATGAGCAGGGCATCGTGAGGAGGGAGGCAGTGCAATACCTCCTATCGGCAGCATCGCGTGTGCACGTGAGGGCGTCTTCTCCGATTGAGTTGGCGGCATCACAGAGAGCCAGGCCTGCTTCGGTGTCGCCGTCGGGATCGATGGCGACGAGGGTTTCAGTTGAGTTGCCGACAACACAGAGTGCAAGTTTGAGGTCGCAGAGTCAGGCCCGACGGAGCGGGACGACCGCGGCGAGGAGGATGGCTGGGTCGTCTGAGTACGGGGGCCCCGTGAGGCCTGACTTCAAGGAGGCAGCCCGTGGCGCAGCCGCCGCTGCTGTCTCTTCCCCCCCTCCTCCTCGTCCTTCGAGCCTCCCTCCTCGCCCGTCCTCGACTCCTAGCTTCAAGAGCCTGGTCGCTTATGCGACCCGTTTTTGATTTCTGGACTGTCTTTGTGGTTGGCCTCGGGTCCGCCCTGGGGCCGTCTTGTATGAAATTTATTCGTAGTCGTCGCTCGCCGTGAACCGTGGTTGAGCAAGGACAACTTGGGGCTCCCACCTGCCTTGGGGGGGTGGCCATCCGTATATCGCATTCTCATGCGCACGATAGGTCGCACATAGTGTAATATTCTCGCTGAATTGTGCTATGTGGTCAGGGAGACATTCGGCCCGATATCGCTCCGCCGCCGCCGCCTCCTCCTCCGCCTCCGTCTCCTCCTCCTCGTCGGCTACGCGCAGAGGGGACAAAAACACCCTGGCTTGTTAGAAGGCGCGGGGCTTCGTTGGTGGCTCTAAGGTCAGCGCCTTGTCAGAAGCAGCGTCCTCCTGACAAGCCTCTCCGCCTCCCGGTACTGTGGAGACCCATGCCAAGGAACACCCTGCTTGCCTCCACGGTGCCATGGGTTTCTTGGGTTTCGATGGCTTTGTTATGGAAAGCGCGACATTCCCACCAAAAATTTCAGGCTTCGGTGTCTTCTGGAAGGTTTCTTGTGGACCAGCCTCCACTGTGCCCCCTTGCGCGCGCCGCCAGAGGCGACTGGCGGACGGCAGGGCGGTCCGGACGTACGACGACCTGGTGCAGTGGCTCCGGGCGCACGGGAACGCCGAGGTGGACTTCCTGCGCTTCCAGGGCATGAACCAGGTGGTGTATGACCCCCCGGCAAGGGATTCTGCGTGACGGGCCCGAGAGCGAAAAGGCCGCGCGACGAAAGGCCCTCAGAGGGGGGAGGGAGCGGGGACGGAGCGGGAGGAGGGGGGGGCCAGGAGGAGGGGGAGGAGGACGAGGAGGAGGGGAGGGGAGGAGAACGAGGAGGAGGGGGGGAGATGATTGGAAAAGGGAGAAGAGGACGACGAGGATGAGCAGAGTTACTCGGAGAGGGAGGAGGAGGAGGAGGAGGAGGAGGAGGAGGAGGAGGAGGAGGAGGAGGAGGAGGAGGAGCAAAGGAGGAGGAGGAGGAGGAGGAGGAGGAGCAAAGGAGGAGGAGGAGGAGGAAGAGGAGGAGGAGGAAGTGGAGAAGAAGGTGGACGAGTGCGTGGACAGCGCTTCGAGTGCACGCTGCGGGAAGTGGGGAGCGGGAAGAGAGCGTCCAGTGAAGTAGGCTCCCTACATCTCGGGGGGTGCTGAAGGTGCCCCTGGGCCAAGGTGCCCCCGGCTTTTCGTTCCATGTTGGAGCCCCTGGGCCTTCTGGGCCTCGTGAGGGACCCTCTGGAGACTCTGGAGGCCGTGGGGGGCCTCCTTGGAAATCCTGGGGGCATTCTGCAAACATCCGCCAGTCTGGTTGCCCCCCGTCCCCTCCCCCTCCTCCTAGAGACCTCCACTATCCTCCACTGACCGCCACGGACCTCCTGAGACCTCAAGAGACCTCCGGTTCGTCCTGGGCCTCCTCGCTCCTCGCTCCTCGTCTCGCGCTATCCGTCGGGCGCCCAGGCGGGGACCGGTGCTGACCTCGCCCCTCTCGGACCTTCATGTGCTCGCACCTCGATTCGCAGCGCCCTCGCCGGAAGGGAGGAACGAGGGAAGGAGGAGGGATGAGGGACGAGGGAGAAGGGAGGGCGGAGGGCGGAGATGGGGGGAGGAGAGGGAGGAGGATGGAGGGAGGGAGGGAGGGAGGGAGGGAGGCAGGGAGGGAGGGAGGGAGGGAGGGCGGAGGAGGAGGAGGAGGAGGAGGAGGAGGAAGAGGAGGAGGAGGAGGAGGAGGTGGAGGAGGAGGAGGAGGGGGGAGGAGCAGGGCCGGAACATTGCTGTGCATGGCCATCAGGGCCCAGACTCCTGAGGACAGGCCACCTGTGCCCGACGAAAAGCGCGGCGCAGGCCCAGCCCCCCCGTGGCGCGCCTCGCCCCCCGGAGGCAGGATGAGGTGGGAACTCCTGGGAGCGCCTGGGAGCGCCTGGGAGCGCCTGGGAGCGCCTGAGAGCGCCTGAGAGCGCCTGGGAGCGCCGGGGGGCGCTTGGGAGCGCCTGGGAGCGCCTGGGAGCGCCTGGGGAGCGCCTGGGGGGCACGCGCGAGGGAGGAGGGCCCCGCGCAGGAGCTCGCCGCCCCGCGGCTCGCCGCCCGAGACCTGCGAGCGCTCCACCCTTACCGCCGTGCTCCGCAGCCGCCCGGCCAGCCGCGGGGCCAGCGGCGCGGCCGCGGAGAGCCCGGAGCGCCCCGGGCGGCGAGGCCGCGTCCCCCGCGCGCCGCTGCCGCCCGCCCCCGCCTGCCGGAGGAGGCAGAGGCGGAACAGGAGGAGGAGGAGGAGGAGGAGGAGGAGGAGGAGGAGGAGGAGGGGGAGGAGGAGGAGGAGGAGGAGAGGAGGAGGAGGAGGAGGAGGAGGAGGGGGAGGAGGAGGAGAAGCCGCCAGAGGCTGAGCTCGGCCGCGCGCGTCGGCGGCTGCGTCGGCGCGCACGCGGTCCGCTCGCCTCGGGGCCCTCCTCGGACTCGAGGGCCCGGGGGCGCAGGTGGACGAGGAGGAGGAGGAGGAAGAGGAGGAAGAGGAGGCGGAGGAGGAGGACCAGGGCAAGGCCCGAGGGGAAGCCTTTGAGACGCCTTCGGCCGCATTTCCAGTCTTCTTGGTTCAGAAGGTGCCTCGATCCGTGTCTAAGGTGTCTTGTAGGCACTTGTAGGCATACCCCGAGTCCATGATAGTATGGGGTAGGATGGATGAAACGGTGATGCCGATGATGATGTTGATAAATGTAGTGGTGATAATGGTACTGATGCGTTCCTCTTTCCTCGTCCTGATCATCGCCTTTGGACGTCTCCAGAGTTCTCGGGAGGCCAAAGAGTAGCCGCACAGAAGACCCAGACGCTCTTCGTGATGCTGGCCAACGATAGCCACGACGACGGCGACGACCACCACGACGGAAACACTGACAGACGACGACAACGGACGACGGACGACGGACGGCAGCCGCAACGACCGCGACGACTCCGCTGCCGCAGCTGCCGCCCCTCCACGCCCTGAGGGCCGCCGAGGGGCGCGAAGGGCGCCGACGCCGGCGACGACGACGACGACGACCACGACACGACGACGACGACGACCACGACGACGACGGCGACCACGACGACGACGACCACGACGACGACGGCGACCACGACGACGACGACGACGACGACGGCGACCACGACGACGACGACGACGACGTTGACGACGACGACGACCACGACGACCACGACGACGACGACGGCGACGACGACGACGACGGCGACGACGACGACGACGACAGCGACAACGACGACGACGACGACGACGACGACGGCGGGCCCTCCCGCAGGCGAGGGGCTGCCCGTCTGCGGGTCCCCCGCGCCGGCGCTCTCCAGCCTCACCGAGGGCGCCGAGGCCCCCCCCCCCTGCAGGGGCGAGGATTAGGTCAGGAGGGGAAAAAACACACAGACACAATTCATCGGCGATTCCCAGAAAATATATGAAAATATGGGAAGTGGAGGGGAAGACAAAAACCCAGAAAATATGTTTTTTTTCATTTGTGTGTATTTATTTGTGTGTCCCAGTTCCCCTTCAACAGGGTAGGGGGGGGGGTTGTGGAGTTCTGGGTGTGTCGGGCCGGACGAAAGGGGGGGATTGGGAAAGGGGGGGTTACGAAATTTGCTGCAAGCAGCTGGTTTCGGCCCCACCGAGGGGCCCATGCCTCGATACATCGTCGCCTCCGGCGCCGGGAGGCGCCGGGAAAATCAGCTACGTGAGCTGATTCTAAAACCCCCCCTTTGCTATCCCCCCCTTTCGCCTGACCCGAGTGTGGCGACAGTGTCGGTTACGAGAGACTGAAGCGGCTACAAGCCCTGCCGCTTCCCGCCGGCCAGCTCGGCTTGACTGCGAACCTTAGGCCAAAGGCCTCGGGAAGTTCTGTCAACGTGATCCTTCCGATTGCCAGAGATCCCCCCTTCACACTTGGCGGCTAACGCTCGAAGCTGTTGCGAGGCGTAACAACCACACTTAGTGCAGACCCAGAGGCTTAAACCCGAGTGGAAATTTGCAACGTGAGATTCGTGAGCACCCCCCCCCCAAAGATGCAACCGTTGCCCAGGAGGAGGCCTATACTGAATCCCGTCCACGTTAATTAGGGAAATGCAGGGGGAGTTTAACCAGTCGCTCTTACGGGCCAAGGACGCGAAACCCTGACACCTGGAACAGCTCTTTTCATTTTCCTTGAGGCTGTGAGAACTACTGAACATGGTACACACGCTGGCCGCTGGAGGCCGAACTATATCTGGAGCTTGCTGCTTGCGCCTACGCCTACCACACTGCCCAGCTAAGAGACGCTCTTCGGCCTGAGTGGCCTCGAGTGTGCCTTGGAGGATGCGCATGCGAACTGCGAAAGTTTGCTGCTCGATGCTGTGTATGCGTGCACGGACGGATTCGGCAAGCCTGGCAACACTTGCGCCTGCCGCTGCGAAACAATCTGCTATGGTATCACCCAGTACAAGGAGGCGGGGCGCTATACCTCGTACAATATCAGCACCCTCAAGATGGGAATGGACGAAAAGCACCGTGGAAGAAAGCGAAGGCCCTCTCTCCTGTAAGACGCGCCCTATTCGCCACCAGAGGTCAGGGTCAGGGCCCGAAGGGTCGAGCCACTTACGCTGATACCACCCTAAACTGACTGCATCGTTATCTGTAGTGTACACACAATGACCTGACGTATGCTGCAAACAGGTGAGGAGGTACCAACTCTCCCCTCTAGTGATCGTTTGCCTGGTGCCAGGGAGGGCCCCCCACGCACCTACAAAAAACTCCACTCGTTCGTCAAGCTGTTGGAACGACACTATTCCGAGGCCTACTCGGCGGAGCAGGGGGTGGTATCTTTCCCCCCACTCAAATCTCCAAACACAAACAAAGGCCGATCAATAGCTCCTGAGCCTAGTGACTCGAAACTGCTTTTGTCGCTGGTCGTTCACAATTCCGTCTCAGGCGGAGGGGGTACCTCCATCCAGGCCTTGGGAATTTAACCACGGGTCAAAAAAACATTCTTCAGCTTCGGCCTGAGTGTAGGCCTGGGGAACTGAATCTTCGCTAAGTTTAAAGATCGGACGAGGCGACTGGCACCTACATCCCCGAATCATGTGAAAACTTGTTTCTGGTACAAGCTTACACCTAGGACAGCACAGAGAGGATCTGGCGGCAGCGTGTCTGGCGTCGTGCCCGCGGCCAAGCCGCGCCCGCCGCCGCCGCCAGCAGCAGACCAGATAACCTGAATCCACCAGGCGCCTGTTCCAGCTGAGCCAGCAGCTTCCTGCACGAGCAGTTGCACACTCCATTTTCCATACCAGCCCCACCATGGTGGAGGGCCGCCTTCTGCCACATCTGCGCATGAACGGACTGCCTATACTCGAGGAAGAAGGGCTCGGGCACGTCGAGGATAGAATGGCCAGTGAGGTTGTCGAACTTCAACTGCCAGGCCGAGTTGCCGCCAGGGATTGTCCACTCTGACGGTGGATCTGGTGTCCAGCTTGCCTGAAGCAGGAAAGCAAGGACAGCTCCTTGGGGTCCTCGAATCCTGCGGCAGCATGCCCCGGGTGTGAGGCCAGCGAACTCGGTGGCTTCCTGCTTCCATGATATGGCTACTCCTGCGTGCACGGAAGGGCGAGAAGACCACATAGCCAGCCACATACGTAACGTGTCCGTCGGTAGTTTGTACTGCGGGTCGCGGCCGGGGGCTTCCAGGTCCAGCAATGTCGTCACA